TAATTAAACTGTTTCTCCAAACTGTTCAAAGACACATCTACATCAGGTAAGATATTAATTGTTTATCTTTCAACATTTGTGCATTGCTTTTAATTGTAACTGATCTGTGTGCACACCTGCAGTTTTCATACTAACCTTTCWACAGTGAGATGAAGCTGATTGCTGGCTTCTTTTATCTTGCTTTGAGCTTCACAGTGCAGCATGTTGGCAGCAGGGGCGCCCTCTATGGCCAGGATGACATCACCAGCACACAAGTTGGCACTGGACGCTTTACTACCAGGAGTGATCTGGACAGGGAGCAGGCGAGGAGAATTAAAAGTAAGGAAAATATTCATCATGTGTGAAGAAAACTGGATACAAACAAAAAAGGAAGAAAAAAAACTCTGAACATTATAAAAAACTACAAGAAATGCATGTCACCCACTGCTTTCTGTATATGTCATGTTCAAAATATGTTTCGTGAATGACTCTGAGCTACTACTATGTCTCATTTTAGCTGAAAATCTGTGAAACTGACTTAAAGAAATTTTCAAGTTGAATAATGTTGATTYGCRGTGGCAGCCATCTTGAATTGACTTGATTTCAAAAGTTAATCAGACGTACAGCCAATGAGTGGTCCATGAGATATGYTGGTGACACCCACCCTCACACATACTCATGTTTTTTTTATCCTTACAAGAACTTTGCATTGACTTTCATTCATTTTCTATTAATTTTTAAGGCCTAACCCTCAGCCCATCAATGGCACTTCTCTATAAGGCCTGGGCTTTGGGCCCTGTAATAGAAATAATACTTTATGTTTAAGCAAGTAATTCATGACATCCTTTAATGACCTAGTTTTTCATGACATTCTGTTCATCTGCAGATAGAATCATTAAAGTCACAACAAGAGCCCACCTTCCCACGACAGGCCCCATAAGGAACAGTGGGTCCTCACAAGTATGTTTTGAAAAAATGGGCCTCACAAGGTAACAAATACACACATACACACTGACATGGACAAAAACATGAGCACTTCATTAATAACAAATTTATTTCCCTTCTAAATTTTACATTACAATACCTCCAAAAGCTCCCTGTCTTTCCTAGAAATTCCTTTCAGATGGTACAGTTCCTGTGAACATTCTTGATCTGTTCTTCCTCACTGACACTTCATCTCCTTGTACATTTCTCTCTGTCCGAATCGTTTTATTTCCTCCTGCTTGGATCACAGCTTTATGGGATTTTCTTTCCCAGAGTCTCACCTGGCCTAAATATGTCCCTAAAAAACAAAAGAAAAAAACTCAGACAGAAGTCAAACACAAGTGGTGACTGCTTTACGACTTAAATGTTCACTTTTTTATTTAAAGAACATTCATGCCAGCAAAACAGCAGCTGCTCACTGGAGAAAACCCTGATGATGTCCTGGCTGCTTTTATTAAGCACACAGCCCATCTCTTGTCACAGCCGTGGAGTAAGAACGTGTGCAGTGATGGCATCCAGATGGAATATGTAYTCTGTTGGCCAAGACGTGATTAAGACGATCAAGAATCTCTATCGGGATCACAGAGAATACCTTGAAACTGAACCGAGCTCCTACGCGGCAGGACTTGGCCTCGGATCAGTCACACTGTGTTACTGGACACAGCAAACTGAGCCGTTACAGTCGAACTGTGATTCGGTCATCTGCCTATAAATAACAGAAGGGGGGTGTCATGCTGCCAAACAGGGAGCAGTAATTAATAGAGGAGCATTTGTTGAAGGGACTGTTTTACTGCTTCTGTGTCTGTGAACTGAATCTGTGAGTTTTTGTTTCCACTTTGGCTCAGCTGTCGTGTGATGCATAGAACCACCGTTTTCCATCTTTTTATTTAGCCTTTTTTTAACTTTTCATCCAAGTTTTTGTTCCTTCTTTATCTGGGTTTGTCACCCCCACCCATCTTCTCCTGATTTTTCATCATGAGCATTCCTCTCATCTTTTCGATCTAAAGCCACTGCATGAGAGTGAAAGTTCAAATAAATTATTCCAACCAAGGGAATCTGACAAGATTCCTGAAGCACAGGTTGTTTGTAACCCATCAGGCTCTCTGGTACTTCTCTACAAATATGTTTGTCTGTTTAGTTGCTGTGTTTGACATGCCTGAACCAAAATTGTGTAGCTGTTAATCAAAGTTTTTACAATCAGAACAGATATTTGTTTTTTTGGCAGCTGGTCTTAAAGAGAAAGAAAATCAAAGAAAACAAAACATTTAAAGGTATAAGAACACATTGTCCAAAAAACTTTTTACTTAACATAAAAAGTGTGAAYAAATCCAACAAACCTTTACAAAAGCATCAAAAATGTTGGTTTTATTGAAGAAGATGATTTTATTTTCTTCTCTAACATCTTAGTTTCATACATTGAATAAATACAGTTTTTAATAAAGAAAATAGCATTTTTTACACTCCTGTGTTTGATTTTTATGGCAAAGTTTGAATCACATTTTCTCTCTTTGAAAGTGTGCCTTTAAATTGTCTTTTTTATTGTTACACTGTTTGGTATGATTTGTTTTACTTACTGGCTTTTCATTTTCTCACATTTCACTGTGTTGTCAAGTTGCTGTCACAACAACACTAACATCCCAGCTGCAAGACAAATAACGGATTATTTTATTATTTTCTAAACAATTAATTAATAAGGGTAAAAATAACGAAAAGAAAACAATCCACATGCCACATTTTTTATATTTTACTTATTATTCCTATTTAATAAACATTTTATTGCCTTTTTAGTAATTGCACTTTGTTCAAAATTTGGTGTTTTTATTGTGCTAAAGAAATAAATCTGGTGTCAATGCCACATGTTCCTTTTTATATTAATATTTTTGATTTAAATCAAATCAATTATGGACTCTCTGTGCATTGTTGCTCAAATCAAATTCTGGAAGTGGTCATTCAACTAGATCTGTTACAAAAGGACAACTAATATTACCAACTTTTAAAAACTGTTACGACCAGAGGTCTTTCTTCTATGTTTATACTAAAGCATGGAATGACATTCCTCAAAACATAAAGTCCATTTCAAAACTACAGCCCTTTAAGAAGAATCTTGTCTGCCATCTGCTGGACACTTTTTGTTGTGCTCATATTTAGACGTCCTATTTTGCAAATGCTGCCTTCCTAAAATTTGGTATGCTTGTTTGTCTTTGTGTCTATGGTGTATAATGATGTGATTGTGATGCTGTATTTCTGAGTGTTTTATGTGCTGCAGAACAGGAACCTGCTGTAAAACAGCAATTATGCTGAGTCAGGCTTGATTTTTAGTAATCTTTTCCTGTTAAATCAATAAATCAAAAATCAAATCAATTTAACGTCCTAAGACCCAAACTCTTGCAGTGCATTGTCCACATGTGGCGCCATATCCTAGAAGGTTAAAGTTTGTGCTGACAACACATCTTTAGGACCAGCTGATGGGAGCTGCTGTTTACCAAAGAGCAACAAACTTAAAGATGGAGGATGTTTGTGTAGAACTTAAAGTCCTGGTTTTTAAGGTTCTGTTGTTTGATGTGTTTCTGCAGAGAGAAAAAAAGAAACCCAGCTTTTTCTCCTGATCTTGTTGTACAGAAAGACACTTCAAAGTTGCCGTTTGCTGAAGCTGAAAAAGATGGTTATCGCTCGTGTTTACTTTCCACAAGCAGCTGGGAGCACAGATGAGTCAGAGACGAGGATGTTCCTGACCAAAAATGGCAGYAGGACACAGAGGAGTCAGTCGTGTTTGAATCAAGCTGCTGAACTCACTGCAGGACAAGAAAAAACATCTTTTTATTTTCTGCAGACACTGTTTAAAGTCCAACTTTCAACTTTAGGTTTACAAGCATTTCTTTTACTCCACAGCAGGCATCATTTATCCTGCATGTTTCCTCTAAGCTTCTCTTTTCTTTGATTTCTTGGCACGGTGTTGCCCTCAGGCAATGAACCACTATTTTGGCTCTCACACATTCCCTTTATTTGTTTTAAGTAAAAAAAWTACATTAAAAGTCTGATGACAAGTTTGTGAACAATGAAATTTGAATTTGGAGAGCATGTGACATTTTGTCTACATGGGGTTGGAACCACCTTTAGTGTGGGACCATAGCTGGCTTGGACACACTGCTATCAGAAGGTAATACAAATGTAACTTTTTAGCATGTTTACGTTTAAAAAAATACTATGATGTGCAGAAATATGTGCAGAAATGTATTTGATTGATGAAATATATATACTGTATATCTATCTATCTATCTATCTATCTATCTATCTATCTATCTATCTATCTATCTATCTATCTATCTATCTATCTATCTATCTATCTATCTAT